CAACTCCGCTACGTGCCGCGTGGCCGGCCTAAGGATAAAGCTACAGAGTGCTAGATGTGTTATTTAGCCTCAAAGCTGTTGAACAGTAATAAGAAAAACATCAAAATCCATGCCAGCAGTGCAATGTGCAATCTAAATGGCATGACACAGCACGCGTGCTGCACAGTCATTTTTCAAATTCGAGTAAAGCAGTGCAAAGTAAGTTCTTCGTAGACCTCTAACAGTGTTGTGTCCTTGTGACAATTTGTTCCAGACGAAACCAAGGTTGAACTTATCCTCGAACTTAGCACGAACGTTTGCACAAAAAACAAACACGTTAGGTAATACAAATTTTGAAACGTAGTTGTTTTTAATTTATTTCAATGTCGCGGTTGAAGTACCAACAATTTAATCTTAATTTCTGATGCCCGTGGTATTAGTACGTTGCAGACTGTACGAATTCGCACTTTGCGTTTTGGCGAAGGCAAGAGCGAGGGGAGAAGCAGAAGCACTGACCTACCGAACGGACTGGGTGTACTGGTTGTGTGTGTGCGCGCGCGTGTGTAAGTGTGTGTCAGAGAGAGAGAGAGAGAGAGAGAGACTAGAAGCTACCCCCACCCATCTTCCCTTTCTCACCTGCTGTCGGCAATGTATTTTGCGGGGTTCGCGCGGTCGTTCTCGGAATGCCACTTTGTCGGTAAGGCTTGCACACTTTCCGTTCCCACAGCAGAGAGGGGGGCTTTGCCCGGGTCACATGTGTGCGTGCTCGCTTGGACTGGTGGTTCTCCACTTTGAAAAGTTTACCGGGAATTTCACTACACACTGTTAAAAGCTTACAGTGATTTTTCACTGAGCCTGCAGCACTGTAGCTTACGATGAGATTCGCTGTAGCTTACAGTGAAATTCACCTTAGCTTACGGTGAAAATCACCGTAAGCTACAGTGCTGCAGGCTTTCACTGCAGCTTACGGTGAAAATCACTGTAAGCTTATAACAGTGGCAAGTATATCAATGAATAAAACTATTTCAGCGGTTGTGTCCTTCAACTTCAACGTTGCGGATTCCACTAAAAGCGGCGAATTTCACTTTCACTGTCGCTTGCGGTGAAAGATTCGCTGCGTGGGTTACGCCTTCTCCCCGTTGTAGCTGCCAGCAGATGATACTCGCCGTAACTTCCAAGCCTTGCCACGCGGGGTCGTGCCAACCCGCCAACCCCCTTCCCCTCCAGCTCCGTCGAGCGTCGCCCTGCTGGAAAATGCCATCACAGGTCAGCGAGGCGAGGTCCATGCGTCCCCGCCCCACCCCCGGTGTGGGAAGCAGCACGCGGTGCGGCGCCTTGCGAGGGATTTAGCTACATTGATACCCCGCTGTCATTACATTTGCTCTTTCTCCATGAACGACCCGAGGGCGCCTCGCCGGGCCTCAGCCAGGGGCCGGGGGTGGGGCGCAAAGCTGATTGCCTGAGCGTCACTCCACATGACCTTGCAATGCGCGCGACTGTGCGGAAATTAACTACATGACGCGGGATAAGACTCTCTCGCGTGCTTTCAGTCATTTACAGGGAGTCACACAACTATATATTTTTGGAGTGTTTGCGTTTAAGCGTTGTGATTTTATTTTATTTTTTGGTGAGATACGGTCGCCACGAATGGGTTAGATACCGGCAGGTGCCTGACTCACGCCACGCCACTTTCGTAGTTATACTGTACGGTACCGCATGCACGCGGGCGGGCGCACTGCAAAATGCTTGCAAAGAATAGGTTCGCATTGCTTACTGTTTTCTTTGCAGCTTGCAAAGAATTTTCACGCATTGTAATACGAACTAGTTCTCCGCAAGCTTGCAAACTATTTCTTCGCAATGCAAACACATTGCTTGCAAGGATTCTGACAGCTTGCAAAGAACTTCTTTGCAACACGAACAAATTCTTTGCAAATACAAAGCTCACAAATTCTTTGCATCTTTGCAAAGAAAATAGTTTTCAAGCATTTTACAGTGCGGGCTGCCCACTCGCACCGGGCCAAAAGGGGTCGTTCAAATACAAACTGCTTTTTTGGAGATGCACAAATAATGTGGGGTCTCAAATTGATCAGGACCATCATTGAAGCTCTCAGGACGCCATAATTGTTTACCCCGGGGTACAAATATCATGGTGCTGTGGACTCCAATTACGTTCCTGTTAATTTTGGAACCCCATAATATCTGTACACTCCCCCCCCCCTCCTCCAAAAGAAAAAGTACGTAGTATTTGAACGCTCGCTAAGGATACGTATGCAGCGAGGGTATGCGAACCCACCCGCACCCGTGCATGCGGTACATACAGCACACTTACAAAAATAGCGCGTCGCATAAGAGAAAATTTCTAAAAGAATTGTGGAAATAATTTTGGGGTGAGCCGGGTGGGGAAGTAGTGTATGTGCCTGAGCCGGCGGCTTGATGCTATAGCCGGGACCTGACAAGCCCGGGACGACCCGCCATGGGAGCGGGTGCCAGCAGTGCCAGAGCAGAGCCGCTAGGCCAGCACGACCTGCGCAGTCCCCAGCCGGCCAAAGCCACGCTGGGCTGAAAAAAATAACATTAAAAGGGCGGGATCGTTAATTAATTGTCGTTGTGGTTTTTTTGTTTTTGTTGATTGTTCTGCTTTTCGTACGTTTAAGTAAAATAAAAAACGTTAACGCTAACGCTAACGTGAAGGCAGATGACTTCTGGCGATTGGCGTTGAGTTTTTACTCTCAACTCTGGGCGCGGCGCAACGGGGCACAGGGACAGCTAGGCGTGGCATTGAACGCGACTTTGAACGCGGCTTTGAACGCGGCATTGAGCGCGGCGAGCGTGGCGTGGCAGTCGTGGCGTGTATCGGCGAGCGTGGCGTGGTGAGCATGGCGTGGTGAGCATGGCGCGGCGAGCATGGCGCGACGAGCACGGCGCGGCGAGCAAGGCGTGGTGAGCAGGGCGTGGTGAGCAAGGCTCGGTGAGCATGGCGCGGCGAGCATGGCGTGGCGCGGCGAGCGGGGCGCGGCGAGGATGGCGTGGCGCGGCGAGCGGGGCGCGACGAGCGGGGCGCGACGCGCGACGACATTGAACGCATCATTATTGAACGCATCACCATTGAACGAGGCAGTGTTAAAGGCGCGCGCGCACACACACACACACACACACGGCGACGGCTTGGCTGGGCGCGCTGGCCCAGTGCTTTATGACGGCGGGTCGTTAAAAGGCGGCCGGAGAACGGCGATCATAGCTGCATAGGGCTGCGCGGCAGCTGCTAGGCCTGAACAGCACTACAGGGGCAGGGGCACGGGCAGAGGCAGAGGCACGCGAGAGCCCCACTGCCTAAATACATTGGACTACTGCTTGCGCGTTTCTGCTGCTTTAACTGGCGAACTTTGAACTTTACGCTCTGGCAGCGCTACGGCGTTTCTGCTTTTGACAACTGAAAAACTTCACGCTTCAACTAACAAACGGACTTTTGCACTTTACTTGAGTACAAGCTGCTGATTACTACGTATCATCTGCTGAAAAATCTCGATGAAGAATCATAGATCTTGAAAGTTGAAGATAATGATCAGGCCTTTTAGTACATTAATATTTTTGTAGAGGCGTGTGACGGCTTCAAAGATCTAACACCCACATTCACATAATTCTGTTGCTATTTATAAACACGTCTAGTTGGCTGAGCGAAGCCCATAACTCCACTCCACTGATAACTCCGGAAGGAATTGAGATGGCGATCTGGGAATTTCAGGGTCGTTTTGTATCGTAAAAAGACAGACTGAGTCCGAAGATGAGCATTCTAGCTCAAAAATTGACTTTATAAAAAATCAAAAACCACAGGTCTCAAAATGAATTTTTGTTCCAAATATTTTTTTTATGGGTTCCAAAAGGGTAACTCTTCAAAGTGTGTGTGTGTGTGGGGGGGGGGGGGGAGGGTTCCGCTTGTAGCACCAAACATCCAAGGGCATTCCCAGAACGTTATTTAGGTTCCACTAACGTTCGTTCCTGGAACATTCTTAGGACGGTTCGTGCTACCAGGGAGGAGGGTGAGTCCGATAAGTGTTTGAAGTGGTTTGATATGAGCGGAGCCAGTGGAGAAGGCGCTGATTACGTAGACTGATGCTGCGAGCGTAGGTGTGGCTGAGTGGGGTAGAGACCTGCAAAGAGCGAGCAATGAGAGCAAGCGCCCGCCCCAGTCGCCGGCCGCGCCTCATAGCTCTGTTTGCTCGCAGCCGCCCTCGCTTTGCTCGCTCACGAGCTACCACCCGGCGCGAGCAACGCGAGCAAATCTTACTCTCTGGTAGCTCGTGGGTGGTGGCTAGGTGGCGCGCGGTGCGACACGCGCTATCGGATGCTGCTTCGGACCCGGGCTGCGCCAGGAGTAGGCGCGCAGCCTTGCTAGCAGCTTGCCGGAAAAAATAAGTCGGTTGTCTCGGTGATGACTGAGAAATCTGTTGGCACAGCTCACAAAAATGGTCTGTTAAAAGAAACGTCGGTTGTGGGAACCGAAATACCCATTGCGACAACCCGTTTTGTCAGTCATCATTTTGGTGACTGATTAGTCAGTTGTGGCAACAGATTATCGGTTGCGATAACCAACTCATTTTTTTCCGTGTGTAAGCTTTTAACAGTGCGGTCGGCCAATTTTTTGTTTTTTGCAAACACCGGTATTGTGTCTGATATCCTGCTTCCGATCTAGTGTGGGTCCTGTATTGTGTGGTGTAAAAGTGTGCACGCCAGCCGGCCGCTGGCCGATATCTGGGCGCGCGTCAGCACCCAGCGGTTCGTCAAGTCTGCTGGGGGACGCGGCCGACAGACAAGAGTGTGAGCAGCGAGATTGCGTCATCTGCCTCTCAGCCGCCTGAGCCAGATCGGTTCAGGATTGTCGCAGAGACCATGCAAACCCGCACCACTGGATCCAGTCTGTTATTCCAACTCGTGCTCCTGACACTCCCCTTGTTCCAGGAGGGCAAGCCCAGAAAAATTATCAACCCTTTGATTGTAAGTTAGATAATGTCTTTTTCAAGGGCCCCTTCAAAATTTGGGATATTTTGTCAGCAATGTGCCTTCGCTACGAACATCATGGATTTGTCCATCCAGAAAAATTACTTGTCCAACTTTTTTCCACAGTATGTACAATTAATATCGGACATACAGGGTGGTTCACAGCCCCACCTTTTTTTTCCGTATCCTGTACCGCATGCTGGCGGGCTTGCCAACCGCGTCGCTCACCGCGGTGCCTTATGGCCCCGGCCCCGTGTGAGTATGCAACCCGGGCGCACGACTGCATCCGGCATCCGGTGCAGTATAAGCAAAATAAAGGAAGGTGTCTTTAGACCAACCTGTATTTTAAAACTGATAACTTTAAACTTTTAATTTGACATGTGTTTTGTTACGTTGAGTAACTAACATTCGTTCGTGTTATAAGTTACGCGGATCCCTGTTTTATGGTGATTCCTGAATAACGGAGCAATGGTCGCTATAGCTAAATGTGCCGAAATGACATTGCAATGTAAAGCATAAATCGGCATTGATCTAACTTGGTGTCATTTTGACAAATCTGTGTTTTTTGACGTTTATTTTGCTGTGCATCTATGTTTTGAACAGGGCCCTTTCATTGCTTATGGCGAACGCTTTTACATGTGCGAGCCAAACAACCGCCTGCTGCCCTGTAGATGGAATATACGCGCTTCTCACTTCAACCCATATAAACCACAAGAGTTACAACGCTTGACAGGCAATGTGACGACTGATGTAACGGTTAATGACGACTGCTGGGTAAGACATTTCAAATACACTGCAGATCGAAGTGTTTGGCTGTCAATTGATTACACACGAAATCCTTGTTATAACAGTCGAGATCAGCTGTGGATGTTCGATCGAACAATCAATGGAAGGAAAACGCCTTTGTCTTTCATTTTAAAAACGGTGCATGTCGGGTTTTGAAAGAAAATATTCCTGATTTTTACAAGCAAGTTATGAAGGGAAAAGATGAAGGTGGGTGCTCAATGCCACCAGTAAGTATCTACTGCAAGTCTGCTCTATCGCCATACTTGTAAAGTATTTATTTTTCTTGCTAAAGAGTGAAAACTGTTGTGGCTGCACACAAAAGAGGCTAACACAAAAGAGCGCAAAAGAGTTATAAATGTAAAGACAGTGATGGCTTCTATTTACAGGGAGTTTACGAGGTTAATAACACCCCAGTGAACTGGAGTTTTCCAAAAGTTCCAATCCTGCCTTATGGATCCTGGAGGTTCAGACTCACGTTTGGCAAAGCTGAAAACCTTTACGCATGCTTCGTGATAGAAGCTAAGAATGTTCCGAAAACCGACTAGGACTAGGAACGTTCGAAGTAATTTTTTGACACATATATGGTGTCCAAAGAAATGGTTCAAATTGGAAGACTAATTTCGTTTTCTTTATTGGAACTAGTTGCACGCGCAAGGGAACGTCTTTCGGTCTTACACAGTATTATTTGTTTTTATTTTATTTGTTATCATCATTACCAGGAGCTGAGTGGATCCGCATAGAAAGACCACCGCCTGTTTGTCCCCTTTGTCCTCTTATTTTATTATTTTATCTCATTGCCTTGTCGCACCTTTTTATTACACTTGTCGTTGGCCGGGCACAGAGTTGCTGTGTCATGTCGTACTCGACGAAGCGCGCGGGTTGGTGGGGCCGCCAGACGACATCCCGCGCCACTTCAACACTTCTTCGAATGACTCACGACTCCTTGTGCCTCTCTCTGAACGCTACATCACAGTACAAGCAATCTGACACATTTTTTATGTCATTTCTTGTCATCTTTGGTTGGCGTACACAATTGTACTCGAGTATTTAGGCTCAAACCAACTCCTTTTTTGGGACTGAGCACCAAACGTACTCGAGACTTTCAAGCACACGATATTCAGGGGGTAAAATGTTTCAAATGTGTTATCTGCTAAAAACGATCAGATTCATAAACACATTTTTGTAAAATATAATACACTCATTCGCGTCATTTTTTGTTTGTTTGTTTGATTTTTGTTTTTTGTTTTTTTGTTCGTTCGTTTTTTGACAAAATGGGGCCAGAGGAAGGTACGACTTGACTGAAAGCCTGGCCTTCCATTATCTTTCCAGTTTTTGAACATCCTGCTCCAGGTCGCCTTAGTGACCCCAACCCCATCACCCCACATCCCACAGTACCC